TTTTCATTACTTTAGCCAGTGAATTGACTAGTTTATATTAAAAAATAATTAAGAAAGGAACTTTGAAAAGAAAGGAAATCCTAACTGTAGACACCGCACTTTAATGCTTGCAAGTTTTTTCACCCTTTTTCAGGACCTAAGGAGAGCCACCTTGTGTGTCAGTGAGGGTTCTATCAGAGAAGCAGAACACACACACACACACACACACACACACACACACACACACACACACACACACACATACTTTTTTCTTTTAAGACGTTTTATACATATGTGCTGTGTGTGTATATGTATATATCGGGGGTGCCAAAAAAAATGCATACAAGTGGACACTTTGGTCAGTGTTGCTCAAGCGGTAGTTTGCAATAATCAGAAGTGTCTGGATGCTGATGGTAACCACTTTGAGCACCTCTTGTAATTGCAGAAGTCAAACGTGACTTGTATTCATCTTTTGTTATCAGTATATATTGAGTATTACAATTTTAATAGCTTTTTCCTTTCTTAAAATGTGTATACTTTTTTTTGGGCACCCACTGTATATGGAGAATTATTTATATATGTGAGATAATGGAGTAGTGTATTTATATATGGACGTTTGTTCCAAGGAATTGGTTTATGTGACTATGGGTGTTGTAGAGTCTGATTGAAATTGAGGGGGAGGGGGGCAAACTGGCAGACGGGAAATTCTTGCTTAGGAACTGAAGCTGCTCTTTTGCTCTTAAGGCCTTTCAACTGATTGGATGAGGCCCACCCACATTATCAAGGGCAATCTTTTTATTATTATTATTTTTTTATTGTGAAATACACATTTTTTAGAATTAGTTTCAGCTGTACAACACAGTGCAATAGTTATACTTTTTACCCCTTGAAATGACAACCCAATCCGCTGCCCTACTTCCCCCCGCAATATCATACATATCTATTACAATTCCCTTGACTCCACTCCCACACTATACTCCACGTCCCATGACTATACATATGTATGTATTCACTTATAGTTGACATACAATATTATACAACATCAGCTTCAGGTGTACAGTGCAGAATCAAGCCTCTACCCCACCCATGATGCGGTCTCCCTAGCAAGACATGTGACTATCTGACACTCTACAAAATATTTACAACATTATTAATTATATTCCCCGAACTGTCTTTCATATCCAAGGGCAATTTATACTTAAAGTCAACTGATTCTCAATGTTAACCACATTTACAAAACGCCTTCACAGCAAAACCTAGATTAGTGTCTGACTGAATAACTGAGCACTGTGGGCTAGCCAGATTAACACATAAAACTACCACGCCAGAAGACCTCTCCAGACTTGAAATTCCAATTATTATTCCTTGAGGCAACATTTTTCTTTTCAAACTTAGTTTTTCAAGGGAAAAAGAAATGACTTTTTTTAAAGGTTCATTTAAAAAATCATATTACAAAAGAGATTTTTCTCATTTTCCTCTAATTCCTTTGCAAATCTCAGTTAATTACAGCTTTATCTCAGGGTGTTTGGGCCACTACAGCTACTTTGAGACTAGAGAGTTGAAACACTGAAAAGAGGCTGTTGCTGCTTTAAGTGAAGCCAGCTGCTCAGCCTTCAGGTGGAGTCACTTCCTATCCTGTGATAAGACTCACCTGTGCATACTTGTCAGTCATTACCAGAGGGCACTGGGGGTACCTTTAGATCAGCATGGTAAGTGGTGGTAAGTGGCCACCGTTCTTGTGTGTTGTTGATAGTGTTGCTTTGGTGTTGTAGCAAATTTTACTCATCATATTTGACCCTCTTCTCCACCAAGCAATTCTTAAAAAATTATTAATACGAGAGAAGAAAAATTTAAAGAGTCATTTGTTTCTTTCAATGGCCAAGTTTGAAGCGGATTTGAATAAGCCCTTATCTATTCAGCTGTAGTTTTACTGCTTTGGGGTGGGGGAAAGCTTATTTGATTTGCAGTTGCTCATTGCCTTTAATTGAAGTGCACAAGCATTTAGTTTTTGTATTTGTTTGAGACTTGGTGTGCTGTTTTTTTTCTATAGAAATCAATTGCTTTGCTTTCAGTTATGCTCTTAGAGTTTCTGGGGACTTCAGACCCAGGTTACCATCGCTAAGCTGATAAGTGCTAGGAGGTAAAGTGCACAGATATCTTTGTCCTCTCTCGAGTTTAGTCCTTTGGGGATGATAATGAATATAGTTACTTAAATATTGGGTTGTCAGAAAAGTCATGACATATTTTTTCTATGTTTTTCGTTGCAAAAATGGGTATGACTTTTCCAACAACTCAATAATTCTGTTTGGGGACCACCTTTTAAGATCTGCTTTCCTTTTAATCTCTTATGTGCCAGTCACAGTAATATTTAGTATCTTAGAATTTTTTATTCTTAAATGGAAGCAATCTTTCAAACCGCTTTTTCATCTTTGATCTTCTCACCCCCACTGGACTCTCTCTCCAACAATTTAAAGATGTTTAAATTGTTTTGCTCTTAAAAATGATGCCTTTGTACACGAGGGATCCTTGTGGCAATGGAAATGTTCTGTGTCTTGACTGTATCAATTCAGTATTCTGGGCTTGATATTGACTATAGTCTTGTAAGGTATTTCCATTGAGGAAAATGGATAAGGGGTACAGGCGATCTTCTGTATTATTTCTTATAACCACTTATCAAAATTGATATTCAGTGGGCCTTTTACAAACCTTTTATTGTTTTATAGCTTTATTAATATTTTTACAGATTGTTTGGAAAAGAGGGAAAGACTAAGAGGAGAATAAGGTGAAAACAGCCTTTGGTGCCCTGGGGCACAGTTATGTTATAAACTCTGCTGCTTCTCAAGCCAGCGGGGGCAAGACTGGTCCTTGTTGGGCCAAGTTTTCCTGCAGAGGATGGACGGTATCACTTCTCTGTCTGGACCACATGGGTAATGGATGTAGATGAAAAAAAAATCCAGCCTAAGAGAAAATGTATTAGAGTTTATTTGAGCCACACTGATGACAATTGCTGGGAAGCAAAAATCTCAACGGATTGAGAAAATGCTCTGCAAAATGGCGGTTTGCAGTTTATTTTATACACAGAATCAAATGAGGAGGGTTACATGAAATCCACTGGTGGTAGGTTTAAGGGGGTGGGAGAAAGCAAAGCAGGGAAATCTCTGGGATTGGATAAAAGTAAATTGGAGAGGCAGGTACTCTTTTACATAGGTGGGTACAGGATAGTTAATACTGGGTTGTTGGAAAAGTCATGACGCATTTTTGCAAAGAAAAACATAAAAAAAATACATCATGACTTTTTTGACAACACAATAGTTCGCTTTTTAGGGCACAGAGAGATGGTAATCAGGACAGGAATAACAATGAGGGATTCTGTAGTTTCCTGCTCTGGTCTGGAAAAAGGGATCACTGACATTCCAAGGATGTCATTTTAGGTGCAAAAAGACAATAGACAGGCTCACTTAAGGCAAAGATTGACCTGATCAAGGAAACTTCAGGCTAAAGATGTGACTTCCCACCATGGTACACCTTAGTTAGGAATTTTTTATGTTCACACAATCCTATGTGGTTATTTTCAGTCTCCTGAGCTTGTCAGGTTTAACATGTGGTCCCTTTTCCATCCACATGGACCACATGAAGACCAGCAATTTTTTTTTTTATGTTGGTGATTATTTTTATTGTGAATGTTGTGAGCACAGGCCACAGGCGCTGTGAGAGAAATCTACATGCAAGTGGTTTTCATGATGTAAAAACAATGAATCGCCCCATTTTCAATTTTTACCTGAATCTAGGGATTTCAGTAGTTTTTGATCCTGATGACAGTAGCTGATGTACTGAGATCATTTGAAGTCCAACAGGAGGGAAGAAAGGTGTGTGAGGAGGCTGTTGTGGTGGAATTCTTTTTTGAGATTTTGTGCCCCAGAGGTTGGAATATTGGTTGGTCTGAAGTGAAGTGCTTTCTTAATCAAGTTCACAGCTTTTGTCATGAGACTCATGGCTGCACAGAGAAGAAACAAAAAGGAAGTACCCAGGAGGTGAGCTTGAATTCCTCATAAAGCAAAGAGGGGTGTGTATGCCTCATGAATCCAGGAGACAAAGTTCAAGGGTTTGATGCCCCAGCAGGAACAGAGTCTAAGCCAGATTGCAGGGGTGTGACCGGCCAGGCTTCCCTCCATCCCTCTGACTAGAGATCTTTTTGTAGTTGAATCTCAGACCTTGGAAAAGTGCAGCCCTGGACTACGGGAGGGTTGCCTATCAGCGTATCAGGCAAACAGCGTAAAGGGCCCTTATGATGCCGAAAACAGGCTTCTTACTGTTGGGAATGTGTTCCATGACCATAGTAATCAAAACTCAACTCTCAAATGAGGAGATATTTGTGTTTGTTTAAATTACAAAAAAATTACAAAAAAAAGTATTTGCCTTTTTAAAAATGTGAATGGTGATTTAGGATAGGAGAGTGGAGGCCGATGAGGGTGAATGGAAACAGTCAAGTTTAAACAAGAAAAGAAATCACTTACTACCCAGATGTAACTAGTTGTGGGTTGTTAAATCTATAGCATGTTTCCTTGGCAAATTTTCCACTGCTTTTAAGCTTAGAACATCCTTCCTTTTTTAGAGCACATGTGGAGAGTAAATATAAAATTTCAAGATATAAAAAGGTAATATCTTTATCTGCAATGGGTTTTAATATGTGTCAAGGCTATATATTGATTTTGGTTTTATTCTTTTCCAATAACTAGCTAATTTTTTTCTTAGTGGGACAGCTTGATTTTGTACGTATATAATTATAGATAGTCTTCACTCATTCTTAGCCTACCCTACAATAGGTAATTAATTTATGTTGTTGAAAAAAACCTTTTAATGGGATTGGAGTCCTTGGTTCAATCGTTCTTAAAGCTTACCTGTATCTTGGTTTTGGGTTTCCATGAGACACTTTTAATTAGCCTTAGAATAAATTTCTCTTGTTGGCATAAGCTGGCTTGGTTTCTGTCAGTTGTAAGCAGAAGTGCTGAGTGATGTGGCTCATGAGATCTAAAAAGTCCTGCTCAGTTCTGAGTTACTACCGCTTATTTCAGAGGGAGTGCCTTTCCATTCACGTGGGCCAAGCTGGCGTCCAGATTGGGGATGCTTGCTGGGAACTCTATTGCCTGGAACATGGGATCCAACCAGATGGCACTGTTCTCGACAGTAAAAAGGATCGGTCGGAAAAGGCTAAGATGGCGTCTATGGCTGCCTCTTTCAATACCTTCTTTTCTGAGACCAGAGCTGGGAAGCATGTACCCAGAGCACTCTTCATGGACCTGGAGCCAACTGTTATAGGTAATGTAAGTTTTATATTCCAGCGTACTTGACCAAGTCCACAATCAAAACAAACAAATCAAGTGTCAGTGGGTGGGATTGTCAGGTGATATGAGTCTATCTGAACAGGATCATGTGGTGTCAGCCAGGAAGGCTCAAGTGATCTTTCAACAGCTCTGTCAGGAAACATTGTTGTCATCCTCCATTTATAGATGAGGAAACTGCGTCTTGGGAAGGTTATGGAACTTGCCTTGGATCATTGAGTTATGAGAGTACAACTGACTTTGACCCCAGGGCTTCCTTCTCATAAAAGCCATTCTCTTTTAACAGAAAAGCAGCGTAACCAAGTGGAGAAGAAAATGTAAGGATTTATAACAGCACTAATAGATGTGTTAATAGTAAGCCATATAAAATTGCCACCGGATGACCATTTTTTTACCAGAAACTCTCAATTTCAAATGATGCAATGTCACAATAAGAGAAATTTCTGTGACGTATAGCAGTATCATCGAAGCAGGATGAGTACCTGGGGAGTTATAAAAAGTCTCCTCAGGCAGCATTTGCAAATTCACAGAGGCATGGAGGACCATGCAAGTTTGGGAGGTGTTCAGTATGGCTGGAACTTCAGGTATGAGTAAGACAGTGATGGGAGAGTAGGCTAAAAGGATAGTCAGGGCTGAGTTGTGGACCTACATAGGGGGAAGTAAGGGAGTATGCTCAGAGAAAGGACTTTGCAAGTTTATGATTTTTGGGGGACAGTTTTGAGTGATGGTGATTCAAGTAGAGTGGAGCTGAATAACATTGGGGGTAAGGAAACCAAGGCACCATCAAATAATCATGTTTAATACCCATGGAAGTCCCTGAGGATGCTGGTTCAGGATGCTGGGCCAGGTACTAAAGTCTCTGAGCAATGTGGAAAAGTGCCTGGAAGTTGGAGTAGATGGTTTGGGCAGTGCTGATCTCCCAAAAGTGGGTTTCACTGCAAGATTTGTGGAGCTAACTACCCTCAATATCTCAATTGGACATTGCCATGAAGAAGCAGGCTTCCAGAAGTTCCCTCCTTAGACTGAACTCAGCCTTAGAGCTCCTGGTGAGAAGCAAAGAGTCCATCCAGTGTCATATGCCCACTTATGTCTTGTTTATAAATCTATCTTTTAAAAATCCCAACTTTGGTAGTAGTGTGTGTGTGTGTGTGTGTGTGTGTGTGTGTGTGTGTGTGAGTCAAAAGTCATTTGAAGTCAATTTTAGTAAATTTAAACATTGAGGGTATATAAAATTGTGATTTAGAAATTCATATGCAGGAGAGCAAGGTGAATTGACAGTCATCTTACTCTTAGAAACTTAAAGCTTTTCCTCATAGGCAGTAAGCTTCTAGGACTACCTGTAGATAACTATAGTGTCCAGGCCAATGACATATAGTGAGATAAATCTGCATAAATCCATGTCAGGAAGTCAGTTTTATCATTATTATTTATAATTCCTGTTTTATGAGCCATGCATTATGCTCTACAACCTCATTTAATCCTCATAATAACTCAGTGGGGTGGGTCTTGTTACTATGCTTATTTGGGAGGTGAAATAATTGGGGCTTAAAGACTGCTATAGCTAAGTGAGAAAGGCAAGATATGAACGCAGGAAAGTGATTCTTTTTTTTTCTTTTTCTTTTTTTTAGATTTTTTTGGGAATTGGGGGATGGGAACAGCGCTGGGGAATTGGGGGAGGGGGAACAGACAAGCTGCTGTCCTTTTTGTTCTTCAGTCTAGTTGTGGAGGACGTTGCTTCATTGGACCAAGTTGGCACCATCATTGTGCTCTTCCTGGGCAAGGCAGATCAGTTGCTGGCTTCTGGATGGCTGCTCACGGTGGCTGCTGGCTGCTCACACTGGCTGCTGGCTACAAACGGTAGCCCATGGCAACCCACTGCAGCAGGGGCTGCGGCCTATGCTGCCCAGTCTCCGGCGACTCACGGCAGCCCAGCTCCAGGTTGAGCTGTTGTTCAGCATCTTAGCTGTGGAGGGCAGTGTCACTGGCCCTCATATGAGGGATCCGAACCGGCCCTCTGGCGTTCCAAGCCAGCTCTTAACCAACGTGCCACTTGGCCGGCCCAGGAAATTCATTCTTGAACACATGCTATTAACTATGCAACATCCTGCTGTAACCAGGGCAACATTTCCACATTCCATGAAAAGGCGTTGAAACCAGGCAGAGATACACTTGGTTGTATTGAATGCTCCCAACATCTTCCCACTGATTTTCCTACTTCATGCATTTGTGTTAACTGCATTTGAGCTGTGTGGGCATTTGAGAGTGCCACCCCTTCTTCGTTAAAGCCTCTTTTAAAACATTCTACTAATAATTTAGATTGGTATGCTTTTCCAGCACACAGTTGACAATTTGTGGATAGAAATACTTGTCTTAAAATGCCCAAATGCCGCAGGATGTGTGGTGGGTTGATAGTGTCTCCCAAAAATCTACGTCCACCCACAACCCCAGAATATACTTAGTTTGGAAATAGGGTCTTTGCAGATGTACTTAGTTAAGGGAGGTCACACTAGATTAGGGTGGGCCCTGAGTCCAAGGATCTGTGTCCTTATAAGAAGAGCGGACTCACAGGAAAAGGGACATGCATGATGGAGGCAGAGAAGGGAGTGATGCCACTGCTATCCGGGAACTCCAGGAATTGTCAAGAGTCCCCAGGAGTTTGGGGAGAGGTCCGGAACAGTTTCTCCCTCAGAGGAGGAAGCAACCCTGCGCCCACACCTTGATTTTGGACTGCTGGCCTCCTGAACTATGAGAGAATAAATTTCTCATTTTAAGCTGCCAAGTTTGTTGTAATTTGTTGCAGCAGCCCTAAGAAACTAATAAAGAGTGTATGACAGAAAGACATACTTACAATTTATAGGGACGAGTTATACCTTTTCCTAGACTAAGGAAGGCCAAGTCAGCATTTTAAATCCACTGCTTTACAACATTGGGGGGGGGACAGAAGGGAGCCACGGTCTAGGGCTGTGCGAGAACTCAGAGGGCTAGCAGTGGACGGAGTGGAATGGCTGACCTGCTTTCCTCTCTTCAAATCACAGATGGGCTTCGAACAGGCAAGTACCGTTCACTCTTCCACCCAGAGCTGCTCATTAGTGGGAAGGAAGATGCTGCAAACAACTATGCCCGAGGCCACTACTCTATGGGATCAAAGGTTATCGACCTTGTGCTAGAGAGGATGCGAAAACTGGCAAGTGGCTCCTATCTCCTGAGCTGGGGTTGGGGGGCGAATGCCTGAGTGCCTGGGATCTGGCAGGACACCTTCCAAGCATCACCAGCATTTGTACCACCCACATCATCGCGTCGCCACCCAACCTGTCTCCTTGGAACCTCCTGCGATGCTCACAGCTGGGAAGTGTCCCAATGTGGGCTTTGATTACACCTTGTTACACAGGAAGGTTGGCAGAAGCCTTCACACTTTCTGTACAGTCCCATCTACTCTTTTATTTTCTTTTTAGATTTATGAGGAAATGTTTTATTTTATTCCCCTCCCCCTGGTTTACTGAGATATAATTGACATAATATTGTGTAAATTAAGGTGGACAATGTCATGATTTGGTACACATACTATATATTGTGAAATGCTTACCACAATAGGGTTAGTTAACACATCCATCCCCTCAAATAATTACATTTTTCATTTCTTTTGTGGTAACAACACTTAAAATCTACTCTCTTAGCAACTTTCAAGTATACAATCAGAATTGTTAACTATAGTCACCATGCTGTACATTCGTGCTCTAGAACTTGAATTTACTCTCTCACTGAAAGTTTGGACCCTTTAACCCAAATCTCTCCATTTCTCCCACCCCCGAGTGCTTGGAAACTACTATTCTAGTCTCCATTTCTACAAGTTTAGATTCCATACATGAGTGAGATCATCCAGTATTTGTCTTTCTCTGTCTGACTTATTTCACTTTACGTAATGCCCACAAGGTCCATCCATGCCACAAATGGCAGAATTTCCATCTTTTTTAACAATTTTTTTTATGACTAGCCCCCATTTACTCTTGCTTCTGCTAACTCATGGTTTATCTTGTTATCAGAGACTTCCAAAGCACTCTAAAACTTTTCATTTTCCAATAGTAACCAATATTTGTAAAGTTAACAGGAGGCACATCCTACCTGGAGATTGGTTACTCTATTGACAGTTAATTCTTTAAGGACTTGAGTCTGGAGAACCTTTTTTTGAGTAAATATTTTGGTGTTTGGCATAATGATTAGGTAATACAATGCCTGTTACACCAGCCCAGTAGGTTGGGCATAGAAGTGACAGGCACTTCATCTACCATGGTGGCGGGGGGGACTAGATGGCTTCAATGTTTTGTTAGTCATTTTCTTTGTTATTGATAAAGACCTAAAGATACAGATTAATTCAGGGAGGGCAGTGGAAGATAGCTGAATATTTATGATTTGCTTAGAGTAAACCTCTAAATGCTTTCCCACCCCAGAAGTAACCACTCAAGTACATGTCCAAGTAGATATGCTTGTGGTGTAGTTGATCATGGTAAACCAGTACTTCCTGAACTTGCTGTGTCCCACCATTGCCGCTGCCTCTGGGCTGATTTGGCTGAGTTCCCACATCTCATTTCCTTTCCCAGGCAGAGCCATGCAGTGGACTTCAGGGATTTTTGATTTTCCGGAGCTTCGGAGGAGGCACTGGATCAGGGTTCACATCTCTGTTAATGGAGCAGCTCTCAATACACTATGGTAGGAAGACTAAACTGGAGTTCTGTGTCTACCCAGCCCCGAGGATCTCCTCTGCCATGGTAGAGCCCTACAACTCAGTCCTCACCACCCATTCCACCCTGGAGCACTCGGACTGTACCTTCATGGTGGACAATGAGGCCCTCTATGACATCTGCCATCATCAACTTGGCGTTGAACACCCCTCTTACACCAGCATTAATAGGTTGATAAGTCAAGCTGTGTCTTCCATTACTGCTTCTCTCCGGTTTGAAGGGCCTTTGAACGTGGACCTAATTGAATTCCAGACCAACCTGGTACCTTACCCGAGAATACATTTCCCCATGACAGCCTTTGCCCCTATCATTTCTGCTGACAAGGCCTACCATGAGGCGTTCTCTGTGTCAGACATCACCACTGCTTGCTTTGAGTTCCCCAACCAGCTGGTCAAGTGTGACCCTAGACTGGGGCAATACATGGCCTGCTGCCTTCTCTACAGGGGGGATGTGGTCCCTAAGGATGTGAATGCAGCGATTGCAGCCGTGAAGTCAAGGCACTCTGTTCAGTTTGTAGATTGGTGTCCAACCGGTTTTAAGGTGGGCATCAACAACCACCCGCCCACGGTGATGCCAGGGGGGGTCATGGCTAAAGTCCAGCGGGCTGTCTGCATGCTCAGCAATACCACGGCAGTTGTGGAGGCCTGGGCTCGCCTGGACCACAAGTTTGACCTCATGTATGCCAAGAAGGCGTTTCTACACTGGTATATCAGAGAAGGCATGGAAGAAGGGGAGTTCTTAGAGGCCAGGGAGGATCTGGCAGCTCTAGAGAAGGATTATGAGGAAGTGGGCCAAAGTTTTACATATGATGGTGAAAATGAATGTTAAGTTGAAGTGTCGTGCTTTCTTCTCAATTGTACAGTTAGTGATTAGAAGAAGAATCAAATCAAATCAACAAGACCCAAGGTCCCACACTAAATTAAATGAGCTAATGTTAACAGTGAGCACATATTTCCTTGTCTGTTAATGTAATTCAGGACCATGACCTGTGAACCTTCTAAGGTTTTGGAGTCCTTTGAATTTCTGGGTTATATCTTTTTTTCTTTTTTTGTCAGAATGGAAACCTGACTTATTCTTTGCTTTTTAAACCAAGAGACTATGAAACCCTAATGTTAATGCTTTCCCTTTCTTGTGACTGAGGTGGAAAACAGCACAGTATTGATTATTAATGTTATTCCCCCATGTCTATATATTTTGTACATTGATTAAATAATGAGCATTTTCAGTATGCATTCTTTTCCTTCTTCCAAATGTGGGCCATATACTCTCAGTTTGCTTTTTATACAAACAAGCAACAAGAATATTTTTGGGCCTTTCACAAATCGGAATCTCTGTGTTCTGCAGGTCAGAAGGCAAAGTGATCTCTTTCAGCTCCCCTTCCTTGAGGAGGTGTTCTCAAAGTGTGGCCTGTAGAACCCTGCATTAGAGCCATTTCAGAGGTTTAGAAAAAACTCAGACTCTCGAACTTCACTACGGACTTGCTAAATGAGAAGCCCTGGGGATTGGAGGGGGTGTGACCCAAGGATTTGAAGTTTAAAAAACACTTCCTAGGATTAATTTCTGATATTAAACAACCCCCTTTTCAAAGGAGTTATAATTTAATATGGACAAAATAGCTATAAATGCATTAAAATCACTAGCCAGATTTTTAAAATCCATGATGTTTAGTCTGACTAATAGTTGGAATTAAAGTAAATATATGAGTGATAGTGCAAAGGTGTCACTTGGGCTGGCATTGTTCATGAGCTGAAGGTAGATAGTTTTCAGGTGCTTCATTCATCTGTGGTTTTACCTTTCCACCTTAGTCCTCCAATTATTTTCTCTTGGCCAGGACATGGTCAGTGCTTTTGGTCCAGTGGGCCCTACAGCCTTGGCTGGAGGTGTAGTAGTGTGTGTCTTATTGTGGGATTTATCAGACGGCACTGCTGCACCTTCTTAATGTGCCACCTGGACCCCAGAACTGCTGCTTCATCTGTAACAGGTTCCTGGTAAGTGCTTTTACATCCTAACATCACTGCCCTGAGATGTGGCCTTCAAGAGCTCCATTTGAACAGTGTACCTTTGTGCCTGTTTTCAGCTCAAACCATTGTCATCAGGGAGGCCAATGACCACAGTTTGGTGGAAATGATATTTAGATACTCTTCAATGCCTGTGAAGGGGTTGTTTTCCAGCCCACACAACTATCAGTGAGTTTTTGCTCAGTCCTCAGTCTCTGAGTATTTGACTGGATCTCCAAGGCCATCTGCCAAGGGTTCAATCTATGCTGACACCAGAACAATGTCATACCGGAGTTCCCTTTGTAACCGAGGCCAATTAATTCTAAAATATACCAGGATTTCCAGTACTGTAAGAGGGAAAGGAATATGATTCTTATTCTCATGATTCTGACTTGCTGTGATCAAGCATTTGGAGAAAAGTAAAAAAAAAATTGTTTTTCTTCAAATGAAAGGAGTGATTTGGTGAACCTCACTGTCACTTTCACCAAACCCAACATAGACCAACAATGGACTGTCAGCTCTTTGTTTAAGTATGGAAGAAAACCTTCTATACTTAAAGGAGCCTGCAGCAGTGTCCAGGTGGCTAAAGACCTATCTTAGGCTAAAGTCCTGTAACAAAAAACAGTTATAAGTATTTTTGTTTGAAGTTTTGTGATGAAATAATGATTGGAAGCTTATGTAGATAAGCCCTGATTGATAACTATCCTATGAAAATATTTTTAAAAGGCTGAGCATTTTCTAGGTAACGCAAAACGCATTTTAAAAAACCCATATTGGTGAAGGTGATGTATATTCACTCAGAAAATCTTTACTGGGTTGCTTCATTTGTACAAACACTGTCAGATAAAAATGCTTATCATTTTAAAAAGAAATCATGATTATAATTACCCAAGGAGAACTTACAGTGATTACCATTAGCAAAGACAAAATTATAGTAATATTACGTGTGTTATTACCCGGTACCAGGCACTCTGCTAAGTGCTTAATGTATATATTATCTCATTTAGTCCTCTTGGTGACTGAGGTCAGTTTTTATCCCATTTTTTTAAAAAAGATTTTATTGGGGAATTGGGGGATGGGAACAGCGCTGGGGAATCGAGGAAGGGGAACAGATAGGTAGATAAATTGCTGTTTTGTTCTTCAGTCTAGCTGTGGAGGACATCACTTCACTGGCCCACGCTGGTATAATCACTGTACTCTTCCTGGGTGAGGCAATCGGCCACCGGTCATTGGTTGGCCGTTCACCGCGGCTCACAGCAGCTCCCACCGGTTGCTAGCGCCCACACCGGCCGCCAGCCACCCATGCAGCTCATGGCAGCCCACTGCAGCCCCGCTGCAGCCTATGCCCGTTGCCTGTGACCCACAGCAGCTCAGCTCCAGGTCAAGCCGCTGTTCACCATCCCAGCTGCAGAGGGCGCAGCGTCACCAGCCCTTAACGTGGGATCCAAACCGGGGCCCTGCTGCTTAGAGCTGGCGCTCCCAAGCGAGCTCTTAACCAACTGAACCACTCAGCCGGCCCCCAAGGGGCTTATTCAATTAATCTATGTCACTCATGTTTGCATTTAAAATCATATCTATCTTATTCAGTTGTAAATAAAGCTATTTGACGACCTAACATTTCACATACTTGTGAGCTTTAGGATTAGAGCTCCTAGAGCAGCGGTTCTCAACCTGTGGGTCGCGACCCCAAATGACCCTTTCACAGGGGTCGCCTAAGACCATCGGAAAACAAAAAGATATTTACATTACGATTCATAATAGTAGCAAAATTACAGTTATAGAGTAGCAACAAAAATAATTTTATGGTTGGCGGTCACCACAACATGAGGAACTGTATGATGGGGTCGCGGCAATAGGAAGGTTGAGAACCGCTGTCCTAGAGAATAGTCATCAAGACTCAAATACTTTTCTTTAGGCTGTTTCTTTTAATCAAGTTCATCACTGTAAAATGGAAGATTTAACACGGAAGAAATATTTAACTAGATATCAGGAAAGATGGGTCCAGGACTTGACTCTTACAATTATGTGATCTTGAAATATATACTTAGCTTCTCCATATTGTCAAATCCCCGTGTTGGACAAGGTTATTTCTAAGACCCTTTCCAGTTCCAAGGTTTTGTGAGTCTAAGAATTGATTAAGTTGTAATGTTACTTGCCTCTACATGCCATACATAAATATTAGATTTACCAAGTATTTTTACTTATTATTCATATTTCCTCTCTATTAGCTTATTAAATATTCATTTAAAAATTCTTTTAGTGAGTGCACTAGGAATTGCAAAATTCAAACTTGACTTATTGCATCCACCATACGTTAGTATTCTTCCCATTCCTGGACAATGAAAAGACCACAGGTCACTTCATCTACTTTCCCCCTGACTTTTGTGCATTGTCACCTTGTACTTTAATGCCATCCATATTTTAAGCCCCATAAGACATTCTTATTGTTTTTTCAACAGTGGATGTTTGTTTAGATTTCCCTTCAAACTTACTCTCATTCCTTCTTGCATCACCATACTTCTACCTGACATTGTTTTCCTTCTGACAAAATAACTTCCGTAACTGTCTTTTAATGTGGATCTGGGTCAAGAAGGACTATTTGCCTTTTCTTCCTCAAAAAGTGAGATCATCTGAGCCAATGATTGAAATAGTTCTGAGGACTGTAAGTGCTAATTAAATGTGATCTTGAGGCATCTGTGTCTCTGCCTTAGTCATCTGTGTCTTTACAGTGTCAGGCGTAGAGTAGACACTCAATATTTATTAGATTGAAAAGCACCGGGAGATGACTTACCTCCTACTTTATTTAAATCACATCCATCTGACTTTAACTTTTTATGTTTCTCTTTGATTTCCCCTTAAAATTATTTTGACTCATCACATATCCTCTATTATCCCAGAGGAAAGTCCTCTTTTTTCCAAGGCCATTTATTATGTTGCAACTTCTCCCCATGACTCTTCTAGAAGACCTTGTTCCTTCAGTCCCCTTTGTATGTTCTTGTCTCCCTTTCCCCATTGACTTTTTTCTTCTTCTCCCTTCTTATATATCAAGGTCTCTCATTCAAAAAATCAGCTCCCTTTTCTGCATTCTATTACTCTTGTAATGTACAGTCATATCTTTCTACTCCAACTACCTTTTCAAAAGAATATTCGTTTGATGCCTACACCTCATCTTCTGCTCACTCCTTAGCCTTTGTGATTTGGTGTCCTCCCCACCGTTCTACCGAAACTGTTATCTTGGAGATCATTGATCATCCCTGATTTATCAAAACAATGACCTCAGCCGTCAGATTTCTTGACCTTAAGCATTTGGTAATTCATTTTTCTTGAACCTTTTCCTTTGCCTCCTGTGGTTCTCCTCCTCATTTAACATCTCCACAGATTCCTTTTCTCCATTGCCTGCTCCTAATGGAAATACACTTGGTCTTTTTCTCTGGCCTTTATTTGTCTTATTCACAACCACATTAGCTCTTTGTGATGACTGTGAAAACTCTACATTTCCTTCTCTCTTGAGTTTTGTACTGGAATTTCCACCTACATCATAGGCCTGTCTTCCCAGACATTTTGAGTGCACTTAAATTTAACTTCTTCCAAGAAGAATTTATCATTTTCCTCAAAAGAAATCTGTTCTTTCTTTGGTGTTCTTACTTGTTTTTTTTGGTCCTCATGTCCCCACTTTAAGCAGATTCTAAGCAACACCTCTTTGTTGATTGTTCTATTTTATTCTCTGCATAAAATTAAGTCCTGTCAATTCTGCTTCTGTAATGTTTCCAGAATCCCTTCCCTTTCTTTTCTTCCCACTGATGCCATCCTAGCTCAGGTCATCAAATCCTGTCCCTATAACTAGCACAGTAGTGTCTAAATTATTTTCTGCCTTTTACTTTGTCTTCCTGATCCATCCTACTCTGTGACTGAATGTTCCAAAGCAGTGTGGATTATTCTGTTCCCTACACAAAGCTTCAGTGATTCCCCATTGTCATGTCATTAAACGTAAACTTCTGCATGTGACAAGCAGAGCCCGTCTCCTTCATTTTCCAAACCCACCCTCTACTTTGCTGTCCTGCATTCCGTTCAAACTTGACTGTCGCCATTTCCCAGCACAGATTCTTCTCTCTCTCCTCTGCCTTTGCTCCTTCTCACTGCTGTCTCTCTTCTTTTCTCTGTGACAATGGGGGTTAAATTTTTACTACAACTCTGTTCAGATGTCACCTGTTCCAGGTTACCTCTTGGGACTCTTCTCCTGTGTGCCTTGTTGAGCTTACCAGAGCAGTCTGTAGTGTCCATTTTCTCCCACCCGAGTATTCAGGGATGGTTGAAATTTCTCACTATATTGAAAGCATTATAGTAAATACTTAGTGATGAACATTTTTTTTCATGTGCATGTCCGACATAGTGCTTTGAACTTTTATTAGGCTTTTTACTAAGTATTTAATTTCTTTCTTTAATGCATATGTGCTATTTCTCTTTTCAGACACTGGAGGGCGCTGGCTAAGTGCTTTAAATAACTGCTCAGTTCACAGGAGTTTTGGTGTTCTGGAGGGCATTTGTGTGTGTGTGTGTGTGTGTGTGTGTGTGTGTGTGTGTGTGTGTGCATTCACACACTCAGAAAAGATCATTTACAAGTTTTTCTTTTTAAAAATTAATAATCTACTAAAACTAAGATAAAAAACCTAATTCTTAAACTTTTAAGTTCAGCTTATGAATCTTATTTTGAAATCTAAAAAATTTAAATAATCACTTTTGAAGGGAATAGAAATGGATTTTTGGTCTCCTTTGCAATCTTAGATAAACATTCTTAAATATTTTATATTGCCTTTATAAATTTAATATATTTTATTTTATTTTAAGGATTTGAATTGACAAATTTTCTCGAAGACCCTATTCAGAGCCGTGCTTACTTTTCTTTTGGGTTTGTTCTTTTCTTCTCAATTTCTAGTAGTTCTTTATATATCTGGTTAATAAGCCATTTGTCTTTTATATGAGTGGCAAACATTTTTCCAAATTTGTCGTTCGTTTGTGTTTTGACTGCTGCTGCTGGTGGTGGTAGTGTTAGCTGCTGGTATGTGTGTGTGTGTTGGTTATTTTACTATCTGGAAGTTCATGTTACGTATTTATGACTTACCACCATACAGGAGTGGAACCACAGTCCCTCTCTGGGAATCTGGCCCTCGGGTTTTGCTGCCAGAGGCCATCAGAGTTCTTGCTGATATCCATTGTTCGTGGACTTTTACTCATTAAACCCTCTCATCTCTGAACTCCTCATGTATTCTTTACACACTAATTGCTATCATTTAATTTGCAGTTCATCACTTATATACTCCCTGGCGGTATTTGCATCTTTTCAGGTTTTGGTTTTGTCTACTCACTTAGATGTTGACTCATGGAGAGCAGAGGGCTTGCCTCGCATATCAGTGTCTCCCAGGTGCCCAGCACTGGGCTGGGCAGTTACCATGGGCTCAGTGGGCATCTGTTAAAGGCTTTGCAGCCCTAGCAGGCCATGAAGGATGCAGGGTATCCCAAGGTGGATAAGGGAAAACTCCCTTTCCTGTTCAGCCCAGGTACCATACTGGCAGCAGACCCCAGGATGTGCCCCTTGCATGGGACCAGGGAATCGAGATGGCTGTAGATTGAAAGATGGCTGACAGTCATGCCAGCTTGGCCTTTCCCAGCCTCTTTGCACTCCCTAAGATATCCAAGAACCAATCCTGTCCTGGAAGAGATGAGGAATCAATGTACCCTCCCTCATTTGCCTGAGCTTTCTGAGCTCAGAGGTTTGGAGGCAGCTGGCTGACCGTAGAGGAACTGAGACAAGCCAGGGGTTCAAGAAGCCACTGATTTTAATGGGGATGAGAGGGTTGGGAAGGGACCGACCAGGTGGCGGGATGGTAAGCAGTGCATCTGCTCATCTCCCAGCCTTGGCTAGTCTTGGTGTGTGGAAAGGAGAGGAGCTCTGAGCACCCTCTTCTTAGGCATGGGGTCCTCAGGGAGAAGTGTGGGGAAGGAGAAAGGACACACAGAACACAGGGAGAGACCTTAACGGCCTCCAAGCGGTGAAGGTGGGACAAGACTGCACGTCTGTGTATATGTTCAGAGGACGAGGGAGCTGGGCTGGAGGCAGGAAAGGATCAGAGGGGTTGAGCAGTGAAGCAGCCTGTAAAACTAGACTGTCCACAAAATACAAACTGGTTCGTTGGGCACACCTTCCCCCTCCACCCCGGCCTCCCTCATCCTTGTCCCTGAGGGGCTGCCTTTCTGCTGGTCTCGCTTCTACTTCTTCCGCCCGATCTGTGCCATCAGATGGGCGTTGGCCGCTGCCTTGGCTCTCAAGTTCTTGGCCTTGGCGATGTTGAAGAGGATGTTCATGATGTTAGTGGGGACATCGAGGGACAGAGTGAGCTTGGAGCGCCGGTCACTCTTGGCCTTGTTCTGGGACAGCCTCCCTCTGGGCTGCGCTGGGGACAAGTACTTGTACCGTGGGTTTCCAGCTTCACTGCCACCCCCAGGGAAGGTCCTTTTGTCCTTGTCGTCTTCCTCCTCCTCCCTCTCCTCTTCCTCTCCTGAGGATGGATCTGGGCTGAGCAGGTAGGGGGAGCCTCTCTTGCTCAGCAGGGGTGCATCCTTCAGCTGGACGTTTTTGGCCTCAGACAGGGCTGTGTTGATGCAGCGGAAGATGGACTCGGCTTTGTCCAATTTACAGGCTGGGCTTGGCCTGGGGGCCCCTAGGAGCAGCAGCAGCAGCGGCAGGAAGTGGGCTGACACCAGCATCTCTCCCTGTGGTGGAAAGGAGGGAAGTAGGAAGGGGTGTGACAAGGGCTCAGGGCTCAGAAGGACACGGGTTCAAATCCTATAGGGCTTTGTTAATGTTCTACTATGTTTCTCAAGGTATAGTCTCTGGACCAGTAGCAGCAGCAGCAGCTGGGCCTGGTTTAGGGTTTGCAGGGTGAAAGAAAGGCAACTTTACAGAGAAAAGACATCTTTGCTTCTCACTAAAGTCTAATTCCTAAGCGAGTTTCTCCTCTTCCATGCTTTGGGTACTTTGGCTGTCACCTATAGTGGAACAGCACAAGTGTTGACATTTCCCTGCTACCTGCTAGATTTAAGGGGTTAAGCTCTGTGTCTATACTTTTCTCATTTGGATTCCTGAAACTCAACCATTCTTTAGGGTGGTTACAGCAGTACCTTCTTCGGGTGCTTTAAAGATACACCCTTACTTCTGAGAGCTGCGACAGGCTCTCGTCCTAGGAAACTAGGCGGGCTGGAAATTCAGAGCACCTATGGGGGTGGGGGATACTCAAAGGGAAAGGCTACAGGCAGTGAAGGCAGAGGGCAAATGCTGGATTCCACAGCTCTGCCCCAGGTGGGGAAGGCAGAGTTAATCCCCATTCTACCCAGTTAGTCTGCAAACACCGGGAAGAAGTTGAATTAATAAATGAAGAATTTAATAGATATGTATGATATTGGGGGGAAGTGGGGCGGTGGATTGGGGGAGGGGGGTTGTCACTTCGAGGGGTAAAAAGTATAACTATTGCAGTGTGTTGTACAGCTGAAACTAATTCTAAAAAATGTGTATTTCATAATAAAAAATAATGAAAAGAAAACAAACAAACAAACAAACAAAAAACAGAAAAAGAAGAATTTAAAAACATTTCATAAAACAGTGGCTGCAGAATCTAGGGAACATTTAAGCATTTCAAAAGGTATAATAATGAGTATAGGAGTGAGCTTGTTTTCATTTTGCAGACTCGTGGAAGTGTTTGTCACACACACACACACACACACACACACACACACACACACACACCTCTGAATGCAAATCACCCTCAAAGTGAGCATTGAGAGTTTATAACTAAAAGGCTCTTCCCCTGAAGAAGGAAGAACAGCAAGGAGAAAGCTGACATGTTATAGGTAACACTGGTGATTGGCAGTATTCATATTACTGCTGTATTATTTAATCCATTCTCAGAAGTGGGGTGCGTGTGTGTGTGTGTGTGTGTGTGTGTGTGTGTGTGTGTGTGTGTTTGCTAGATTGCTATGTTTGAGGAGAAAATTGTAAAGAGGATTTCTCCAAAAACTTGGGCATGAAACATCCATCTTTATGGTCCCTCCCCTTCACTGGTGGCACCTAGTCATTGCAGATATCTGTCCTCTTCCACCAGTGCAGCAAGGGGCAAAGGACTCTGGGCTTTGAGGGCAGAGGACCTGCGTTTGAAGCTTCCCTCACTCTCTTGATTACCTTGGGTGAATCTCTTAACCTGTCAGTGGCCACATCCTAAAAAAGAGGCATTACCTGCCTCACAGGTGTATTGAGAGAATGAAGGGAGATGAAAAGGTGAGAGAGGCTGGCACATGAAAAGCCAGAAATGCAGACATCCCCCCGTCCCAGCCCCTGTCCCCATTTGTAAAGTATTACTGAGGGCCGCTTTTCATGTTCACAACTGAATTCTGTTCAGAAAAATAGATTTGTAAGAACCCATTCTGCCTCCGATCTATTAACTTTTGCAAAGCAGGTGTCTCTATACCCACAAAGAGGATCATTTTGTCCCCTAGGAAACTTCCCCATGGTCTCTTTGGGGCCATTTCTCTTTATTTAAAGCACTGTGGTGTTCAGCACTGTCTTGCAGCTTTCGTCTCTCACCCATGTCCCGTCCCCACCCAGCACTTCCTGTCTAATTTAGGGCAAATATATTTATCCTTCATAAAGAAGTCCCCAGCCAAAATCTTACCAAGAGTGGACTTCCCTCCGAAGTGGAGATGCTCAGAGAGGCAGGCACAGCTTCAGGACCAGGAGGTCTGCTCTGAGCACATCCCCCTGAACTTCTGTCTCTGCTGGGGTCGCCGGCTCCTTTTCTTGTATTGTTTCCTCTCTATGGAGACCGCTCCACTCCCTCGTGTGCGTATATAAAAGTGAGAGATCACAGGGTGGGTCGTAATTCCAGACGTAGTGTCTACACGGGGATGCAATATTGTTTAAAATACAACCAGAACCAGCTGTCCGCGTCATGGAGATGACAGACACTCTGTATCCTTGACCCCTCCTACCTGCCTTCCCTCCCAACCCTCCCCTCCTCCTGCCCTGGCAACTTGCTTCATTGATAAAAAGAAAAAACACTGTTAGGCTGAGAGGCAGTTTCTTTGATGAGTTTTCTTTCTGATCTTAGTTCTTACTAATTTCAGCCTTTCTACATCCCCATCACCCTAACCCACCTTTTGGAAATCTAGAACCAGGACCTGCTTTGAAGGTAGCAAAGGAGACTTGAAGTTCATCTGTCGTCTTGTACTTCTTGTGGGTTCTGATATGTGGTGTTTTTTCACAAAGCTCAATATATTTGTCTTATCAAAGGGCTCGCAAAGTGGCAAATACAATGTACCTAGAGCTTTTGATGGGAAAGCACTTGATTTTTACCCATTTATTTATTCATTCATCCAATATTTTGGCATATTCATCCAATACCTGCTGAGTGCCAGGTATTGCCAGGACCCTCAGGAATTCAAGGGGTAAGTTGCTGCCCCTGTTCTTACAGGGCACTTGCAGTTTAGAAAGATATATAAAAGCAGAGCAATGCCACAGCACAGAAGGGTGCATCCCTGTCCTGGTCACTCAAGACAGGTGACTTGTGTCACGAGAGGAGAGCAGAGGGTTTCAGACAGAAAGGAGGTTTGGATGGAGAGAACAAGTGACATTGAGAGGGACTGGTGGCAGGAAGGTGAGTGGGAGATAGGCTGGCCACAGGGTTTGGGAGGCTGGTTCACACTGGGAAGTACTCTGAATGCGGGCTAGGGGGTTTGGATTTTATTCCAAATGTAATTAAGTGACCCCTTATTTCATAGATGAAGACACTGAGGCTATGAAAGAAGTGACTTGCCAGAGATTACACAGGCACTTGTTGACAGAGTCAGCGTGAGAATCCAGGTCCCACGTGGACCATGAGCTCTTTTCACGTCCACCTGGAACCTCGTGCTTCGCTGTCCACTCTGAAGGGCCACACAAGACCCACATTCTCTCCAGGCCTTCGTCCTGGGCCACAGACCCCCATCCTGGATGGGCACTCCTCTCTCTTGAAATTCCCCCAGATAAAGAGGTAAGTGGATTTCTGGAGTTATCAGAGCTCTTTAATGCTCACATGCATTTTGTGGAACAAATGGAAAGTCTTTGTCGAGAGGGACTCTAAGCCCCCTTCAGTTTCAGCCTTCATCACAGATGTGAGAAATTGGACCTCACTCCTGCTTCTTCTTTCGGAGCTGTCTGCTGGGATTCTTGAGATTACTGGACACACAAAACTAGGATATCTAACCCAAATTCATTCATTCATTCATTCATCCATTCATTCATATATTCTAGTCTTTGGTAGCTTTCCCACCCCCATTTCAGATAAATAGGCAGTAATGGAATTTGTGTAGGTTGAGGGAGAGATAGTTGTAAACATGAGTTTAACTCCTTTTGCTGCCATTCTGAGCTCTGGAGTACCCGGGAGGCAGTCCTTCGAAGATACCAACCCCAACCGTTGGTATTCCTAGGGTGGGGTTTCTCAACCTTAACATTGTTGACATTTGGGGCCAGCTATAGCTGTGGGGGGGCTGTCCTGAGTATTGTAGAGTGTTTAGCAGTGTCCCTCTACCTATTAGATGCCAGTAGCACACAGTCCTCTGCCCAGCTGTGACAACCAAAAATATCTCCAGATATGTCCCCTGGGGGCAAAATTGCCCCCAGTTGGGACCACTGCCCTAGAGTATGGGATTTAGAAAGAGACAATAAACATTAGCTTCTTTTCTTTTTCTTTTTTTTCTTTTTTTTAGCTGAGCCATCCTGCCACCTGTTGGCAGCTCAGCGGCAGCTCAGCACAGGCCCATGTGGGAATCAAACCAGTGACTCTGTTGCTCAGAGCTCGCACTCTTGAGCAAGCTCTTAATCAACTGAGCCACTTGGCTGGCCCAGCTTCTTTTCTTACCAATCTGCCCTGTCTCCTCTCAATTTCCTAGAAAGCTTACTCGCCCTCCCCATCCCCACACACACCCAATGCCAAAGCTCCACAGGACTGAGCATCTTGCTGTTGGTGGCCTTTAACAAGGCCTCTGAGCCCACCACACCCTCCTCCAGACAGATGGGCCCACAGGTTCCCACTGGCCCATCTTGGGTTGGCCTTGGGGTTGGCAGATGCTCCCAGGAGCTTCTGCATGGAGTAGGCATGGTTCCCCACCGGATCCTCACAGACCTGGAGGGTGAGGAAGGAGGCTGTCCTAAAGGCACTTGCGATTGAAACCTCAAGAAGCAGCCTATTTGCTTTGCAACTTGAAACGTCTTCTAGTTGCATCTGATGGAGGCTTGGAGATAGCCTTGGACAGAAAGAGGGTGATTGGCGAGCAAAAATCCCCAGGCTGTCATTTCCAGTAAACAATCATTTATTTCCCTCCTCACCCTCGTTGAAGTGTGTGTGTGGTGTTCTGCTCTGCTTGCACTTTTTCTGGCTGTGTGAGCCATTGGTATCTTTTGTGGATTCAGCATCAGAAGATTGTTCAGTCATGTAAATGTAAATATTCTGTAGAGTATGGAGGGCCCGTGTGGGAAGCGAAAAGCTGATTGGCATCATATAGGAATGGTTTATATTTATAAAATTTCTCTAAAGTGCTCAAAGCACTTTCATATAATAACATATTTTCTCAACGTTTGAGCTCGGTCGTAAAAGGGAAAGATAGGAAAAGGAATTAGAGAACTGTACAAGCCAACAAGCGCTTGATTTATAGGAGAGAGGTTTTGCCTTGGTGTCAGG